GAAACTCTGCGCTGCCTTCGACTCTGTGCTGAGCAGAGGGATGGATGCATCTTCCCCCCACCCCTTCCCGAGGGGCTGCCCAAGGCTCTGGGCTGTGTCCCGTGGGCACAACCATCCCACCATCGGGCTGCCCAAGGCTCTGGGCTGTGTCCCGTGGGCACAACCATCCCCCCATCGGTTAGACTTTTTGCTTGGGAGAGGCAGAAGCCCTGTGCCAGGGTGATGCCTGGAGGGTTGGGGCACCCCACACACCCGCAGCCCCCCAAGCTGCCCCACACCACATCCCTCCCTGGGAGACCGTGGGGAGGTGCCCAGTGCCATCTCCAGGTGCCAGGGATGTCCCAGCTCCCACATGGAGCCCGTGGGGTCTGGCTGCAGCCCCAGGGACCTGGGGGTCTCCCCTGCTGGGATCCTCCCTTGGTGCATTTTGCTTTGAATACCCAGCAAAGATGAAATCCCTCAATAATGAGAAAAATGAAGCTCTCACTGTTTCCATTTTAGAGCTTCAGTTGTCGGTTTGGTGGGCCCTGGGGGGGTGGGGGGTGAATTTTTTTTCAGCTGACCCTGAGCACACAAAGGTCCTGTGTGTCCTCAAGCCCCCCCCATGGCCTCATCCTCCCCAGGGTACCCCAGTGACCCACTGAGGTGTCACAGTCCCACACCAGCCCGGGAGTTGTTCGTTAGCCCCCCAAGAGCCACCGTGTTAACAAGTAATTCTCCAAACCACAGTCAAGCCCTGGGCAGGGGGTGAGGAGGGGTGTCCCAGGGGGTGGGGGACCCTGGGTCTCTGCACCTCCCACTCACAGGGCTGGTGTCCTCATGTCCAACCAAGGTGCTGGGCCACCTTGTCTGGACAATGCTTTGCCAGGAAAGGTTGGACCAGATGATCTTTGAGTTCCCTTCCAACCTGGCATTCCATGATTTTATGATCAAGTTTGTTCAAATGGGGCTGCTTCTGCCTTAATTAATTGTTTGCTGTGGTTCCCCTCAGGGAGTGTGCAGAGATGAGGGGGCATTGGTGCCACCTGCCCTCCCAAATCACCTGTGTCACGTTCCCAAACGGCACCTCATTGGGCTCCCCCTTTGCTTTATCAGCAGCCGGCACTGGGTGCTGGTGCTTGTAGCTCTGGGTGCTGCTCTCCTGGGCTGGGTGCGGGCTGCTGGGCAGTGTGTGGGGAAGGATGTGCTCTCCTGGGGTGGCTGCTGTGTGTGGGACAGGGGACAGCCCTCTCTGACACCCCACAGTCCCTGTGCTGGGTTGTGCTGCTGGATTAAATGCTGATGCTGGCCAAGTTCTTAATGCCAGTGTGGGTTTTGGAGACCTCCAAGTGCTCTCTCCATACTAACTGCTTTTCGGAGGCTTTATCTGCTCTGGTTACTGGAAACTGCTCTGTGCTGGGAGGGTGCACCCACCACCCTGAGCTGCCTCTGCCTACGGGGCTCCCCTGCTTGTCCTCTTAGAGCTGGTTTTGTCTGTAAAGGCATTTAACCGTCTCTTCCTCTCTCCAGGGGTGCAGAAGCAGTGAGGTGTTTTTATTCTCCTCTGTCCTGCCCAGGGGAGGCTGCTCCACTGCCAGCATCTCTTGCAGAAAGCCGAGGGTGCCGGTGTGAGCTGCCTGTGTGCCGCTCTCTGGGCTTTTGGGACTGGAGGGTTTGCTCCCAGTGCTCCCAAGTCTTGTGTTTCTGCTCCAGAGCAGCCAAACGCTGTTTTCTCTGGTGTTTTTTCCACAGGAGCTGGTGGTGGATCAGCTGTGGAGGATGAGCAGCTCTTTTCCCTTCTCCAGGTCACTGTCGGAGGAGAGGCCGGTTGCTGCCCAGTGGGGTACGATGCTGCATGCCCTGGGCTGGCTTGGTGGGACCCAGGGGTGGGAGTGGGTGTGGGGGGGTGATGGCTGTGGTCTGTGGGTGAGCACGGGGTGTGATTTCCCCTTTCCCGTTGTGTGTGCTCCCGGGAAAGGGTTCCCGTTGGTTCTG